TTCATTCTTGGAGCATGGGGTTGGGGGGGCAGCAGTACGCCTGCCTGCTTCCGTCTCATGCCTCCACGCCCTGTCTGCCGAGCGTACTCCAGCGTACATGGACACACGCACACACGCACACACACATACATGCACAATACATACATGCACACATACGTACACGCACACATACATGCATCAGCGTGGCTCGGGGCCTGCTTTGCTCCCTCGGCCCAGGGGCCCATCTTCTCCCCAGGCTTCCAGCTGCCAAGAACTTGGCCTTCCCTGGACACCACCTCTTGTGAGCCCGAGAGGCACACCATTGGTAACGGGGGCCCTGGCTCCTGGGTACCTGCGTGGCAGTGCCCCATCCATGAGAGACCCAGGCCTTTTGTGCCTTTAGGGATGGGGAGTGGCCTTGGCCCCGGCCCGGGGCTCTGTGCAGGGGAAACCCCACAGGAAACGGGCCTGGCCAAATGGCCGCCCTTCCCGTTCTCGTCCCTGGGACACGAATGTGCTGTCTCACTTCCGGAGGCGGCCCAGGGAGGCCGGCCGCCCTGCAGGGCCTTGTCTGCTCCCGGTTGGTGCCCCCAGACCCTGAGGGGACAGGGTTGGGCTGGGGCCTGCTGGGAAAGCGGGTGGCCAGTGTGTGTGTGTGCGTGTATGGGACGGGTCGGGGAACAGAGCAGGACATCTCTCTCCACCTGTCTCCCAGTGGTGGGTGCCACCGGCTCTGGGCACCGGGGTCCCGCCGGTGTTTGGAGTCCTCATTTCTACCATCTCTTCTGTTTCTGCCTGATGACGACAGCCCAGCCCCGTCTTAATTACACGTATCACTTCTGAGATCCTTACCGCGACATCCCTGCTTTGCAGATGGGGAAAGGGAGGCCCAGAGAGGTTGAGTGACTTTCTAGGAGTCACCCAGCTAGGAAGCTACAGAGCCAGGGTTCAGATCTGCCCAAATGGGCTTCAGAGTTGGGGTGTCCTAGCCACAGGGCTCTTGCCATTAAGGAGATCTCCATTTACTGAACATAGGGCGGCTTCATGGGCTTGTGACCATGCAGCTCACAGCGTCTCTCTTGCTTAGAATGGCCTGAAGCCTGGATTAAGGTTCTGCTGTCAGCGTCTTGACATTCTTAACTTGTGAAGAAGGGGTCCCACAATTTCATTTTGCACTGATTCCCGAAAGTTCTGGAAGGCGGTCCTGGTGCTGGGCACTTGCTGAAATGACATACGCACTCTCGGTGAAACTTCCCTGTGCTATTCAGTTGAGGCCCTTGGCTCTGTTTTACAGATGGGGAAACTGAGGCTTGGAGGGCATTTGGAAAACTGCTGAGTGGGGATTTGCACCTTGAGCCTGGGTCTGGTGCTCTTGGGGATGTGTGTGCCCGAGGGGAGAGCTGGACACCCACTGCAGGCATCTGCTCTGCTGGGGTGCAGGCTGAGGCCTGGCTACTGAGGAGACAGGGCCATGGGGGGAGGCCCTGGTGGTTTCCTCCTGCCCTTCAGGCTTCTAGGAAGTGGCGCCAGCTGGGGTGAGATCACTTCCTCACCCGCCTGCCCGCCACCCCCTCGACTTCCTCTCCTCATGGCCCCATTTAGCCCGCCCAGGGCTCACTGGTGGGGAGGGGCGGGAAAAGCGGGGGGAACCTGGCTCTGGGAGTCCCTGCAGCCTCCTTGGCCCAGAGGGATTTGGGCATCTCTGCCTCTGGGACTGAGGGCAGGGCTGCGGTGGGGGCGTGCAGCCCGATGGTACAGCATTCTCTTCGGCGGCTGCTGCGTGCGGGGAGGAGGGCTTCCCTCCGTGGGCAGCAGCAGGCGGGGGGACCCGCAGGACAGACATCTTCAAATCTCATTACCTCCTTTGCTCTCTCTCCGCCCCCCAGGTGCCAGCCGCTGGCCCCACCCGGTGCCCCCCCACCCCTGTGCCATGGCCGGCTGGGGTTCCTGGGGATGGGATTTGCTGCCTGTCACAAATCACATTGCCAGGGATTTCCAACCGACCCTGAGCCCTGCCTCTGGGGCTTCCACCACCGCCACCACCGCTGAGGACACTGCCCGAGGATGGGGGTGGGGGTGGGTGGCACAGAGGCCCCGGCTGTCTGCGTCCGGCCTGGGGAGCAGGGCTTAGCTGCTTGTGAGCAGAGTCCACACCAAGTCGTGTTCACAGTGGCTAAGTTCCGCCCCCCGGGACCCCGCCTCCTCCGGCTCTGCGGCTGTGCCTGCCTGTCCCACTGTCGGGGCCTCCCTGGGCTCTGCCTCCCGTGCCTACTGAGCTGAAACACAGTTGATTTGTGCAGACTGGCTCAGTTCAGCAGGAACAGGAGTCGAGCCCCCTCGGAGCCTGTGGCGCCTGCCTTCCTTGGGTGGGCTGATGCCTGGGGGGTGGGGGGGGAAGACCCAGACCTGTGTCTGGAGGAGGGACTTGGGGAGGGATGTAGCCTGGAATGGGGTAGGTGGACCCAGCTGTCTGCTGCAGGCCCCCTCCCCCAGCAATGTACTTGGGGAGGGCCTCCCCCAGCACAGTCCTACCCATAGCTGGGCTGTACTCCTGGGGAGAACGGGCAGGTGGGTGGTTGCCCTTCCATGAAAAAGGGAAAAGCTGTGTCTGCAGCCCCCCCCCCCCCCCCCCAACCCTCCCAGCCTGGATCCTTTCTCTCCCAAGCCTGGTGGGGCATGGGCCAGGCCTGTACCTTCCCAGCAGCCAGTTACTCAAGAGGAAGCTGCCTTGGGTCCCCAGACCGTTAAATGCCAACTCCAGCTTCCGGAACCAGGCTGGCCTGACCTGAGTGTGCCTGGCCCCTTCTCACTGAGCCCTGCAGCTTCCTAACTCGGGGGGAGGAGCCCTGACACCCTCCTGGCACACGGGGCGGGGAGCAAGGTCCCTGTGAGTCCAGAAAGGACACAAACGGGCCTTTTCAGTCCTCAGGTGGTGCCAGGCTGTCCAAGAGTTGAGACTGTCCAGTATCAGATGGGATGGGGCTCTTTTTGGAGTGGGACTGGGGAAACAGGGAGCAGCCCCCTAGGGCGTCAGGGCTGGCCCAGCATTCCTGTCCCACCTGGGGTAGCGGCCGCCATGAGCTTGGGGCAGGGGTCTGTGTTGTGTGTGGCTCCTGTCGTCCAATTAAAATAAAAGCTGCCCCCTGCCTCATTCCTGAAGGTCTGATAGTTTGTGAGTTTGTGGTTTACTCCTTCCTCCCATCCCTGCAGTTTTGGCCTTTTGGGTGGGGAGGGTTGATGGCCCTGAATTTACTGTTCCCGCACCCTGAGCTCCTGACCTCACAGGATCTTCATCTCTGTCCCACCTGTTCTGAGGAAAGCCACAATTTAGTCACATGGGCAGAGAAGGCTGGAAGGGTGACCTTGAGGGGTGTCCTGGGATTAGGGGGTGACCCTGAAGGAAACCCTGACTTTCAGGGCTGATGCACTGACAAGAGAGCACTGTTCTGGGAAGGACCTAGATGGGGTCATCATGAGGAATGCCCCAAGCCCAGGACATTGACCCGAGTGTTCCTGGCCCCAATGGGGGGGTGGCGTCAAACCCAACCTCTGGTGGCAGCCAGCAGGGACCCTGAGGGAAACACTGGGCATTCAGAGATAACTGGGACCTGAGGGTCCTGAGCTAATGATATTTGGGGGTGGCTGAGACATAAGGGAGAGCTCTGGCCTGAGGGAAGACTTGGGGTGCTGGTATCTGAGAATGCCGGCAGGGAACTTGGGCTTGAAGTGGGCATGTGTCACGAAGGAATCCCCGGGCCCAAGGGGGACATTTTTGTATGACTTTGAGAGCTGAGGGGCACAGTAAGGGGGAGAGGCCCAAGTCCGAAGACGGCGTCTGCAGGCAGCTGAGACTACAGGGTGAAGGAAACCGCCAAGCACGCCGGGACTGCCACCTCTACCCGAGCAGGCCTCCAGGCGGCGCAAAGGAGCACGCCGGCCAGCTGGAGTCCGCCGGCACATACCTGCGGGAACGGGCGAGGCGGGGCGGGAGATGGGTCCGTGTCCAATTGGCCCTCTTTGGCGGAGGGCGTCGCCATGAGCCAATCGCTGTGCCCAGCGCAGCCGCTACTCCGCCCACGACTGCGCGCGCCGCCTTGGCGCCCTCTAGCGGCCAGCCCCGCCCCTCCGGGAAGCTTGTCCTCGCCTGCCCCGGCCCTGACGGTGACCCAGACACACTTTGTTCACCCATCTGTCACTCTCCAAAGACAGGCAGATCCCAAGGGAGGTCCTGCTTCTCAGGGAGCCAGGGAAGGAAGGCAACCGAGGGCCTTCTTCGCAGTCCCCCAGGCCACACCGCTCCCTCTACTTGGGGACTCGAAAACCTCATCCGCGGCGTAGGAGTCCCGGGCCGCACCCGGGCCGCGCCCCTCACTGACCACGCCCACCCTTTCTCGCCAACGCCAGAGCCCGCCCACCAAGGCCTAGCCCAAGCCCAGGATTCCCATCTTTGTTTGGTGGGTGGGGAGGGGTATGTCTTCCCCTCCCAGGTGCACCCAGCACCTGACACGGCCCCGGTGCTCAGCAACTTGGGAGACAAGTACCCCCAGTAGCGGTGTCTGGAGCCAGGGCACCCCCTAGTGGCCGTTGCCAGCACTGTAAGGACCGTGAAGCCTGAGGTGGCCGGGGTCAGTGGGCTCCGGCATAGTAAAGCTCTGTCTCTTCCTAAAATTGGTACCCTTTCCTTAAACTTTGGAACCCCAGTTTTCTCCTCTGTAAAATGGGAAGGATATTCCTCCCGACTCGTAGGACTGTTGGGACAGGCGTTGTAACAGGTGACAGGTATAAACACTCCTCTTGGGGTCAGCCCTATCTGATAGTATCTACACTAGAGCCACTGGGTGAAACCAGCAGTCTGTACTCTTCCATCCCTCTCTTGAAGTTATGCCCCGAGCAAGCAAGGCTGGAGATTTTCTGTGGAGGGATCAGGGAGCCCTGGTCTGGGGTAGGGGAGAGAGAACACACCTCAGTCTCAAAAGCTGTGTTCAATATCAAAAAAAAAAAAAAAAAAAGGAGAAAGGAAATACAATATACAGTTCAATAAATAGAAAAAAAGTTACAAAATGACATGATTTTGTCCTTAATTACAAGAGGAGAAAAGACGGGGGGGGGTGATCGGGGTGGGACACTCTCCCTCCTCGTCCCTGGGCCAAGGTGGGGCAAGGGAGACCCAAGAGAGACAGCAGCTGCGATTCAGAGCCACAAATAGAAAGGCAAAATAGAGGGAAATATGGAAAGGGAGAGTAAGATGAAGGGGTGGAGCAGGGACATGGAGGAGGAGAAAGGCAGAGCCAGAGACAGAGCCAGAAAATGCCAAGATGCCAGCCTCTCTTCTCTCCAGATCTGGGGCGGGGGTCCCTGGCTCTCCTGGGCTTGTCTCCCCCCAACACCAGGTTTGGAGGACAGCATGAGCCTGGCTCAGTTCCTGAGTTGTATGTCCAGTGACTAGCAGGTAGGGGGAGGGACAGTAGTGACCCCTCGAGCCCACACTGGGACCTTGGCATCCTTGGGAATGGGAGTCCTGGCTGGACTGGGGGGGGTGAGGTATGTGGCTGAGGCCTGAGGCCTCTTTAAATCCTTCAGTGGGGATGAGCTGTTGGTCCCAGGTGGGCAGCCTGGCACGGGTATAGGGCTGCGGAATGGGGCCCCTGAGGCAGTGAGGGGAGGGTATAAAAGGAGATTTAGACGCCCTAACACAAGTCCCCTGGTCACCCAGAGTGGGGTGTGGGGAGGGTCTGCTACCATTGACTTTAAGAGCCAGTTTCTGGAAAGTCCTGCCTTGCAGCCCCCACCCCCACCCCCAGTCCGAGCCGGGCCTGCGAGTTTGGGGAGGGAGAGCTTGCCTATTGCTTTTGGGGTGCCCCAGGCGGGGTCATACCAGCTGCCCAAGCACACAGCCCCTTCCAGGCCTCTGGGTGGTGGTATGGCTTCTGATCCTTGCGTCTCGCACACTCGCTCGCACACTCCTAGGCACGCATGTGGCAGGACGTCATCCCCCCCCCCCCGTGGTCCCCCCTCCAGCAGGGTTTGGGGGGGATGGCAGGTAAGACCACCTAGCTCCTTCCCTGACTTAATACTGAAATGCCACATGGGCCCCCAGTGTTGAGGCCCGTGATGGAGAGCTGGCACCACAGGAGCAGGGGCCAAGGGGGTCCCCGCCGCGGCCTGCTGCCCCTCAGCCGAAGCGCTCCCGCACCAAGAGCATGAGCTTCTTCTTGCCCTTGTAGGTCTGTTTGAGGTTCTCCAAGAACTGGGCGAACTGCAGGTGCCCGTCAGGCGCCAGCAGGAAGGTCTCCCGGGCCTGGCCCAGGAACTCGATGAAGTCGCCATAGTGCCGCGGGCTGATGTGCGTGAGGCGGGAGTGGCTGGTGGCGATGTAGGCGGCCACCGCGGCGTCCAGGAGCTGGCAGAGCGGAGCCCGGTCGGCGCCCAGCGGCTTGGCGGCGCGGCGGGCCCCCAGGGGCCCCAGGCCAGGTGCCGCGAGGGTCCAGCGGCGCAGGATGTCAGAGAGCATGGGGGCGCAGTGGATGCTGCGGATGATGAGGGGGACGATGGCGGAGAGCTCGTGCCGGCCCAGCGAGTGGCTGAGCGAGCAGGCCCAGAGCACATCGTTGACGGCGGGGTGGCTGTCCTGGTTGAAGGCGATGCTGAGCTGGGCCAGGGCCAGCGCGGCCAGCTTGTAGGCCCGCAGCGGCAGGCCGCGCTGCTCCATGTAGCGCGCCACCGGGAAGAGGTGGGCGTGGCCCAGGCCGCCGGCCGCCGCGTCCAGCACGATCTGGTAGGCGGCCTCGAAGGCCGCGCGGTTCTTCTCACACAGCGTGAGCGCCGGCAGGGCGCAGTTCTGCGGGTCTTTCATGGCGCACTGCAAGGCCAGGGTGCGCGCACAGGCCCAGAGCTCCTCCCGCTGGGCCGCGTCCAGCTGCAGCCGCGACAGCGTGGCGTGCGTGGTGCCCGTCACCGCCACGATGGTGGCAGCCTCCACCGGCGTGAATAAGGAGTACCAGTTCTGCATGATATTCATCAGGGCTTGCGGGCCTGGGGGCGGCAAGAGGGCAAAGTTGGCCGGGAGGGAGGGCAGGGGCCGCTCGGGTGTGCCCGGGTGCCCGCTGGGGCTGAAGACACAACCCCTCTGCTTCCACCCCCAGCTCGACACAAACCGCACTTCATCTTCCAAAGGGGGGTGGGGAGAGTGCGTGGGGCGGGGTCTACCTATGCTTCAGGGCTCCTGTCCCTTCTCCAAGCCACTTCAGCCTGGCCAGCTTCCAGGCCTTCGTCCAGCTCTGTCCCCCCAACCCGCCTCCCCACCAGCGTAGCCCTGACCTCGGGCTGGAGCCAGGGAAAAGACTCTGCTTCTCTCTCCACAGGGAGATGGGTGGCAGGTTCCCTCGGGGACTCACCGATCTCTGTGGCACAGCTGACCAGCCACCGCACCATCTCCCGCCGCCGCCAGGTCATGGTGTTCAGGGTCATGCGCATCACCTGCGGCCCGGGAGGGGAGAGAGAAGGGGATCACCCAAAACCTCGCACTGGCCTGCAGAGGGGATCAGGGATCCTGAGGGGCCCAGGAGACTCGGGCGTTAAGGGTTGAATCGGCGGTGAGCCACGTGATCTGGACAAGTGGCCTCACCTCCTGGGCCTTCATTTTCCTCCTCTGTAAAATGGGGATTGAAAACCTCCACCTCAGGGCTCTCTTCTAAGAATTCAGTGCAAATTTTCAGGTAAAGATCTTGCACAGGGGGGTGGCTCAGTTGGTTGAGTGGCTGCCTTCGGCTCAGGTCATGGTCTCAGGGTCGTGGGATCGAGCCCCGCGTCGGGCTCCCTGCTCAGCGGGGAGTCTGTTTTGACCTCTCCTTCTCCCTCTGCCCCTCCTGCTCATGCTCTCTCTCTC